ATCCTCCCTTAGATTCAGGAAAATTAAAAATTCTCTGCTACTTTACAAAACTCTGAAAGAATTTCCAGTCTGATACTGTTGAGGGTCTTAAAGAACTAAGTATGTTAGTGGTTGCTAAGTAATTAGGTTGCTAACTATACTTGCTAAAAGAAAAGGGAATTAAAAGATTCAGAAAATTATAATAATTGAGTCTGAATGAAAGAAAAGTGCTAATTATCATTTTGAATAATGTCATGTGGAGTTTAGTCTTGGACAGAGGGCATGATTAGAATAGTTTCATCAGGTGTTCCTGAGAAAACTGATCACAACCAGGTGTTTAAGCACAGTAGTGGAATTTCAAACTGTATWACTTCATGAAAGGGAGGCATCAGCTTTATGAAAAGAACAGAAACAAAAAACAGTAAATCATATTAATGAAGATCATAGTATGGATGAGAAAAGTAGACAAATAATAATAAACATTATATCTTGCCATAACTTGTGGCTTACTTCAAAATATTTGTGATTCTTCATTAACTAATTGGAAATAAAGGTAAAATTGACCAGATCATTATGTGAAAGGAATTTTGATTTTTTTTGTAAGGAAAAAGTAGCAGAACAACATTGAATAATATCACACTAATGATTATCTTATCTAGTTTTTCCTTATAAATCGACTATGTCCTACTTGGCAGAATCTCCTTGGCAATTGGGGAGTAGAACTTGTACGTTCCACAGTCACTTGATGATTTACACTTTCCTTGAAGGAGAGTGTTCATTCATTCATTCAACATTTTTAGCTCCTACTATATAGCCTGTTCTATGCATGGAGCTCAAAACACTCATATTCTAGTGGAGAAACACAAATGCTTGGTGGTAATGTGTCAGGTAGCAATAAAAGTGCTAGAAGAAGTAAGAAAGAGGTGGGATGAATAAATACTTTCTATAAAGAGATATCGGCAAAGGTCTCTTTATTTTAAAGGGATTTCTGAGCATGGGCATAATTGACATGAAGGAGAGAACCAAGTGGATATCCAGAAGAAATTTCCAGGTATATGAGACCTGGTGTAAAGAACTTGGAGCAGGAATGAACAACAGGAGAGGGTGGCGGGCAGTGTAGAGTGGGAATGGAATAGGGAAAGCTCTACCAATATGTGAAGCCTCATAGCCCATGGAGAGAGGCTGGGGTTTGTCTTAAGGGAGACAGGAAATCATTGTTGGGTTTTGGCCCAGGTGGGACAGGATTTACTTACAGAATCGTTATCTAACTCATTCTGTATTTAAAATCTGTTCTTCATAAAGTTACTACATTACAATAAGGATTCTCAAACTTTAACACCTTTAGAAATATTTTGATGAGTAATGCATAATTTAAAAAGAGATCTCAAAGCTGTATTTCAAACTTTTCCATTATTTTTTGATGGGATCATCATAAAATAATGATCCAGATCTCACTGGGTCAAAAGTAAAAGGCATCAAAAGACTAATAGACTATATCTCATGTCTAATGAGAAAYAGCAAATTATAATGAGGTCTGGATGACTAACCCACATTATCTCAGTGTAACAATACAAAAAGATCTCTTCAGGACTGGGTTTGTGGCTTAGAGGTAGAGCACTTGCCTAGTACATGTGGGGCACTGGGTTCAATCCTCAGCACCACGTAAAAATAAATAAATAAAATAAAGGTATTATGTCCATCTGCAATGAAAAAACGTTTTAAAAATATTTTCAAAACTAGTAAACTCTATTCAGAAAAGATCAGATAACATTTGTGACACAACACACAGAGTTCAATATTCACATCATTGATCTTTTGAGGAAATTAATTATCAAATATTAATATCACTAAGTGGTAAAAGTAGTATGTAATAACTAAAAATTTTGTATAGTAAAACATCTAATGGATTGAAAATTCTCACAAAGGAAGATTTTTGTTTTTCATCAAGTCACATATAAAATTCAACTCAGACTAAAAAAGCTATCTCTATTTTTCCTTCAGTATGTGATCAATTATGTTATAGACAAGAAGAGCAAGCAAATTCCTTGAATGCGTAAATGTGGCAGTTTCCATTACTAAGTGCTTTGCATACAGTATGTTATATTTCTTTTTCACAATCAACAACAGACTAGGTATTAAKATTTATTTTCAAAGTCCCTAAGAAATGGACCAGATTCAACCTTAAGTGTTTCAAGCTCCAAGGTGGGTAGTCTTTCCAATATACTCTCTTACTTCCCCAAAGTATTCTTTCCTGGGCTTACAGATCAAAAATAACAATTTTTAGAACAATGTTTGGTTCCATTAGGAACACTGCTATTCAGATCATTTCATAAGAATCTCTATTCAACATTCACAATCACAGTGCAACTTAGATTGAGAAGTTAAGCAAGCTTTCTCTGCACTTTTCTAATAATGAAAACTGTGTGCAGGAATCAAACACTGAGGAACGCCTTCTTTATTTATTGAACAGTAAAGCTGGAGGATCACATAGTGCAATAGAAACAGGAACAAACTCACCAACTCGTTAAAATGGAATAAGACATCCATGTTTATTACAAATGCCAGGAAAGTTAAATGCATTCATAGCCATGTTTSTAAAGTCATTTTTACAAGGCCAGGGTCCTACTGGTTGAAGCAAATACTGGTACAAATAAAGGAAATGTATTTACTTTATTTTGTAGATTAATTACCAACTTATATTATCTCAGCTATTTTTACCCCACCACTAAAAAGATCTTGCCATTATAAATTGTGTGTATCCTGAAATTTTAAACAAATTTTAATACTTTAAAAAATAACATGGATATCATATAATGCATTATAACTATAATATACATTTTGCATAAGGCATTTCATAGATTTGACATACAAAATTTTTCTAATATTTATCATCTTTACTGGTTTCTTCCCACCCCTTTTCTACTGTTGTTTATTTATATATAATACAGGAATGTTCCCTAAACAAATCACCACAGGATTATAAACTCAGGGTTATGTTATCTAAACATAACCCTGTGCTTTTTGGGTTCTGAAGAAGCCCCAGCATCTAATCTAGCACACTTTCTATTATAATATTAGGTCCTCAATATACAGTTGTGGTTGGCTGACAAAGAATAATAGATATTTAGATTGTTAGAGTAGAAGATATTTTACTTAAAGAGAATATGTTTTTAGAAGGTATAAACTCTAACAGTTTAATAACTAACACACATGGAGTTTCTCTGTGTTAGTAATCTTAAATAATTGATAAATCATAGAAGTGGAAAGCCAAATTAAGGAGTATGTATGAGTATGTATCACATCACAGTTACCAGCAATTAAGCCATATATGCTTTTTCAAAACATTTGTGTCACCTTATGATGTAGTTATATATCCTCCTTACAGAAGAGGAAAGTGAAGGATTTGCAGATGGGGGATTTGGGCAAGTTTATACTGCTAGCCAAGAGGTCAAGATTAATCCAGAGATCTTTCTACTCTGGATTTTCTTAATCATGTTACATATGTTTGGTTCTACCAGCTGTTAAGATGAGGATAATAATATCACTCACTTTCCTTATGAGGTTATAAGGAGAGAATAAGATATTACAGAGCAACAAGCATCCTGCTCACAGAATGCATAATATTGAAGTGCTTCTAGAAGACAGAGCAGCCTTCAAAATGGATACTGGTTAAGAGAAGGACACTGGAATCAATAGGTCTGGGTTCAGATCCCAAGTTGGCATCAACCTATCTGGTCTTGGGCAATAATTTAACTTCCATAAACCTCAGGTTTTCCATCTGAAAAATGGTAATGCTAATTTGTAACACAAAGAACATTATGAGGATAAGGTAACATATCTAAAAAGTATTCTTCTCAGTGCCAGGCAAATGCTAAACACTAAACAAATACTAGTGCTCTAATGATTTGTATGTTTCTTTGAAGGTAACTACTTGTTTAATGATTTTGATTTTTCATATAATGATACTGAAAGCAAAGGAACCCTCAAGAAACTCTGACATAAATCATCATAAATGCCTTGTTCCACCTCAAGAATCTCTTCTCCATCTCCTGCCAAGGTGCCATAGGTTCCCATGTAAGGTACTGTGGGCAGAATTCCTGTGAATGTCACCTGACTGTAGCTTTGTTGAAGTTTTGAAGAATCAGTCACCTTCCAGATATTAGCGTCTGCCTTTTAAAAAAGAAGTCCATCTTGATTATGTAAATAAACTGGAATCATGGACTTGGAATTCAAGGCATGAAAAGAACTGAAATCCAATTCATCTTGGAAAAATTATCAAAACAGAATTCCTAACTTTAGTACAAATTAACTTACCTGATTGGATAACAAAAGACATTATTCAAAAAAGTGGAAAACATTACAGTTAAATCTGAGGTGGGTATAAGGGAAAGGCAAATCTCTAAGCATAGGATACTACCTACAATTACATACTTAGACACTCAGCTCAGCCACCATCTCCTCCATTAAATTCTTGCCAGTCTCTTCTGGAGGTTCCTGCCACTATCGTGGTATCTAACTCACAATGTCCCTTTATTTCCTTCTAGATGCAAAATCCTGGTGAACAGGGAATGTATCCTGTTCTATATGTCTCCTACAGCATCCAACAACAAACCTTACAGATGGAGGGTATTTAACAAAAGTTGGCTACTGAAAAATCTTTAGTAGAGACATGTCAGCATTCAAGAGAAACAAGAATTCATCGAGTATTTGGAGAAGACAATGCTAAAGGAATCTAGAAACAACTAACCAATATGCCTGCTTCATGGTTTTGTTTAGCATTTATAGATACAAAGACTTAGTTCTAGGTTTTTTCAAACTTCCAGCCTGCTTTCCAATGTGATGTCAAATGCAGCCTTGAACACTGTTGTGTACTTTTTTATTTCAGTAATCAACATCTTAATATAGTCCTGAGAACCTTTTACAGAATCATATGATATTGAGCATAGAAAAATGAGATTGACACATATTTTAAGTCACTTTTGAACAAACCCCTCTGTCCCGACAGTATTTGAGTATCTTACCGGCTCTCCTTTCTGCCCAGGTGAACCTGGAGTCCCTGGTAATCCTGCTTCTCCCTGAGAAAAAAATGAATTTCTGTGTTAGCAAACATTCTGTCATGTTGATCTCAAGCCAAATTGTATATGAATATGAAGCTGGCAACTGTAAGTGATGCTCATCCCTTCGCCAGAAGACCTTCTCATGTCCTTCATGAAGTTCATGAACATCATTTAAATCATCAGGAGCTGGAGCATGGGATGCTCCTCCACTGAACACCTCCATTGTCCTTGTCTTTCTTATGGAGTTTGCCATGCAATGTTGCTCATGACAGGACACAGCCTGCTTTTTAGCCCAGATCCTAAGACTGCCATTAACATCCACAAAAGAAATTCATGTAGGTCCATGGATTCAGCCTCCCTGACCAAAGGACCATATCAGGGACARTGAAAAACATTATTATTATTTCCCTGCATATATACTGACAATTAATGGGGACAGCTGGAAATTGGGGGATACCAGACAAATACCATAAACACACAACAAAAAAAAATACTATCTAATGTGTTTCTGTATATGTTTAATAAAGAGTAGGAACTGTGTTTCCTTCAACCCTGAATTCCCAGAACTGTAGCCTACTCCTAGTTCATGCTAAGTACTCAGTACTTTCCTATTCAGGTGGTTCCTCCCTTCGCCCTTTTATCAATACTGATTAACACCCTGAAAGGAAGGTCAGAGGCACTCAGAAATATGCAGGTGAAAAACCAAGAAATTCCATCTTCAATCCCTTTTTGTTTGGTATTTTGATGACTATGTAGCTTAGGAATTTGATTCAATTAGCACCCAAGGAAAGACACATGCTATTCACCCCAGGCCACAGTCAAGGAGCCAGGTTTGCTATCTGGAGTGGCTTTTCAGTGGGTACAAATTAAAACAAGCATACCTTGCTTGGAACGCACTGGCACAAGTCTCTGAGTTCCTGCTTTGCGGGCAGAAACGTAGACAGTTTACTGGCATGASCAGTTATGGATGATGACACAGTACTTCCAAAATCATCCTGCTCTGGGCACTAAAACCAAAAAAGAGGATTTAGAGGATGGGTTCAACTCCAGACAGTGGGTCCCCCCACACTAGGGCTGGCTAGTTGTCTGTAAGAACTTCCTTCTTTTAATTTGTGGTGCTGGGGATCCAGAATTTCCTTGTTATTAACCTAATGTTGACAACTGTGTGTGAAATCACACATTTGCTCTGTCACTGAGCCCCCAATGTATTTAATTGCACTGACAACACATAAGGAATGTATAAAACTGATGGTGTGAGTGAGGAGTTCTAAAGCTGTATTATATGACTTAATGATACAGTAATATTGTACACTTATAATAATTGCATTCACATGATGAAATGATTTCTGCAAACAACATGTAAGTGTATATTTGGGGAACAAAAAGTTAAATCATATAATTTGAATTTGTAAAATATAATTTGATAAGACGATTGTAAAGACCTGTAAAGTAAAAAAAATAATAATTTTTTATACTCTAGGGTGATACTTAATCAAAATATGCCTTATTCTAGTTCAATATCCTTTAAAGATATTAAAAARGTCTTCACCATAACATAGAAGTGGTGAATTTTATTCTTGTCCAGTGAGTTTAGAACATGCTGGACAAGATGAAGTTTGGTTATAAAGAAATAAACTTTTTTTCTCTTGAAGATTTAATCTAGATGGAGATTCTGAAGAGCTTTTAAATGTATCTTTTCTTTTTAGTATCACGTACCAAGCTTCTCACCATGATTAACTCTGAATTTGCAGTTTCATGAAGGGAATGCATTAGGGAAAAGAGTGCATGCATTACTTTCTATACTACAAATTACATATACCTGGGAATGTAGTTTCAGATGTAAAATAAAATACTATCCGTGATTATCTACTGTGGTGTAAGGTCATAGTTGATATGTACCTCTTTTTTTGTTGTTTTGTGTATTTCCTAAGTTTTCTAAGATAAACATGTATGACTATGTAAAAAAAATTATTTTGAAAAATGGGTAGTACTCTAATGCTTGTACTAACAATAAAAAACAGTAGCAAAACTAGCACCCAGAACTACTACAGCTGGTGCTAGTTCTTTCATACCTACTCCACCACTAGTTCTTTCATACCTACTCTAGATTGAGTGATGATTAGTTATCTTAAGAAGTTTCTAAATCCAAAAGTCTAAACACCACATTCAAATGAAACAAGATTATCATCAAGGCAGTTTGTTCATCCGATGTTTAGTTATTATTTTCTAGTCAGTTTTTGCTTCATAGGTTCCTGGTGAAATAATCAAGATCCCTTAGGATTTATAATTTTAACCTAAACACTTGAGCAATTAAATTGGTGATTTAAAACTTCTTTAAAATCTTGTCTTTGGCTTCACTGTAAAACTGTCCACCTCTCCAAAACTGCCAAAGGCAAATAGACATATATAAGTAGGGACCATATCKCTCACAAAAACCTCTGGTTTTGATTTGACACATGTAGTTAATTAGCCCTTATAATTTTAATCACATTTCTCATTAATTTTCAACAAATGTTGCTAATCTCCTTCCTCTCTTATATTTATTCATTTTTGTGTCTGCAATCATGAAACTTGACTATTTCAGAAACTGATGTAATTTAATAAAAGTGAAATGGCATGTTTAAAGGTGATCTTGAGTAATTCTCACCTTTGAAATGTTCTGTAAGATATTAATACCAAAAAAATCTGTGACTTGAAATTCTAGGACAAAATTAGATTTTTCAGAAATATTTACTAACATTTTTTTACTTCAAAACCTTTTGAAAAAAACAGAAAAGAAGAAGGAAAGGAAGAAAGAAGAAAGAAAAGGATATAATTGTTATCAAAAGTTGGTGCATTTAAATGGTTTGTACATAACATCTCTAAAACTATACACCTCTATTTTCAAAATGTAGYATGTTTCTATTTACTAATAGTAGATGGTGAAACTCTATCCCCCAAATAATCAGCATGAAAAAATACAATTCTTGGTTATTCTTTCCCATAGTTGGGGTGAATTCCTAACTTATTTTCTACTCTAAAACTAATTCCCAAATTATTATTTTAAACAATTTTCATTTGCAATGTGTGAGATCACGTCACTGCTTTTAATTACTAAAACACTCCATCAAATCCATCACTTATACTTCCTCAAACATTTTTTTCCACTGGAATTCAAGTTGAAAATACATTGTTATGTAATGACATGCCACAGTGATTATTGGCCAAAAATACAATGTTTAGACATATAAAACCATTGTGTTGCTTCTCAAAGAATATTATTTTAAGAACTTGTACATTTTGAGCAACTAATAAAAAAAAGAAAGAAATTATTTAAGTAATGTTACATTGCTGGCATCAGGGTGAAGAAATTAGCAAAGAAATATTTCAAAATGTAGGAAATTCTAAAAATGAAATAAAAGTACTTTTAAAAAAAGCATAATTAATTAAAAGAAACTTCTGGAAAATTAATGTCTTCAAGATTTATATGTGTRGCTCCAGGAAGTCTTGGTATTTCAAGTCTGAATATTGGCATTCTAAATTACCTTTTTAGATATTTATAGAAAGATATTTGGCTGGCTTTCATTTTACTTGAAATGAGAGCCATAAACTGGGTTGGAGGTGTGCTTTATACAACCAATTTACATAAGCAAAACATATAATATTTTTAAGACTAGCTATGCTTATCACTGAACTACATTCTTATTCTGCTACCCAAAAAACATGAGAGAAGTTACAAATATTTTTTAGTTACAAATTACTGATTACATTTTCATATAATTTTTCTTTGGCAAGCATAGAACTTCTAGGAAATCTAAAATCTGAATAGAATGCATTTTTCATTTTTCACTTTTATTTTTGGTAAGTTTTTTAGAATTACTCCCTTTCAAATGCCTTTCCTGTAGCATTTGGCAAGTCACCAAATCAAGGAAATAATGCTTTGACTAACTTCTGTGAACAAAGCACTAGAAATAAAAAAGGTGAGTATAAAAAATAAAGCTTCCCTCTCTGAGTCTAAATTAAAAACAAATATAATTATATCTAATAACAAGATGGCACATGTGAACATTACATCGAGAGAATTATCAAATTCCGTGCTTTCATTAGAATAAATTATAGATATAAGAAAGTAATAGTTGTACAGTTAGGTTGGGAATATTTAGAATAAGAGGATAATGAACTGGACTTATATTTTGTTGTCAATAGATAATCACCTAAAATTTTGAGAAAAGATGAATAGACGGGGAATGTATTCATGTTTGTTAGCCCTATTCATTAGCACAGTTTCTGAAAGATCTTTCTTTTTCTCCCTCCCCTCCCCTCCCCTCCTCCTCCTCCTCCTCCTCCTCTTCCTCCTCCTCCTCCTCCTCCTCCTCCACTTCTCCTTCTTCTTTTTTTCAGTACTGGGGATTGAACCCAGGGTGCTCTACCACTGAGTCACATCCCCAACCCTTTCTTTATCCTTTCTTTATTTTTTAAATTTTGAGACAGGGTCTTGCTAAATTGCTGAGGCTGGCCTTAAATTTACAATCTTCTTGCCTCAGCCTCCAGAGTTGTTGGAATTAAAGGTGTGTACCACCATGACCAGCAGATCAGTGTTTTTGAATAATAAACATGTGTGAAGCAAGTAAATGAATATATACGTATAGTAGTGATCCAGAGACTTAGTCTGGTCATCTACATGCCACCCTTGCCTTCCCCGCAAAAAGACAGGAAATGAAAAAGGCTATGACACAATGATAAAGTAAGTGTCCAGGCACAATGTTAAAATGGACTTTGTCAATTACAGGAAAAAGGAAGATGAGAATGAAAAGTGTATCACAAAGGGAAAGCAGCCAGAATCGAATCTCCTTTAGAATAAAATGGTTGKATTGATTTATCTACTTTATTCTTCTTGTTTTCTCAAGTCCTGAAATATAATTAGTTATGTTTACATAGTGAGATTTGGATACTATGTCAAAATATATTTTCAAATTTGAAATGACAGAATCATTTTATATTTAAAAAAATATTTTAAAAGGAAATTCTTCATTATACTAGTAACAGAAATACAATATATGAAATATTCTTTAAAGAAATAATGTTGTACTTTGGTATCATGGACTTCTTAATTTTAGCTAAAGTAAAACTGAGACTAGAATAAATGGTAAAATAAATGGTAAAATATGTTTTATCTATGTTTCATAATTTCTGCCTAGAACCTATGGATTTTATACTATATTGGTATAAAAGCAGGTCARAGTTGAGATGCATTTTTAGGATGTCACAATTTAAATCTTTCTTGGCAGTTGTGCCTAGTATTCAAAATGAGTGCAAGAATGTTAAATACAGCCAGGATGGGTGGAGCTAGTGAGAACAAAGTCTGATCACAGATTTAAATCTTTGTAAAGTGAAAATTATGGCACTACTATCAGAACACGGTTTTGGGAAAAGGCATAACTCTTATTCAAGTGATGTTGTCTAAAGTGGGGGCATACCATCCCCAAAATTCAGTGCGGAATTCTGGGGTTAAAACTTTGAAAACTGTGGGAAAGTACTAAGAAGGCTTCCACACCTAGAATACATTAGTCCCATGGCTTCAATTGAAGATACCAGGCACTGCCCTATGTTTGCACCATATAGATTATGCAACTAAAAGATAATTGGCCTTCTTCATTCTTCACATACTGAGAAAATTAACTTACCTTAGTAGCTGATATTTCACAACATGTTTCTTGAGTTATGAAGTTTGCATTACAGTAGATTTTAAGTTGGTGAAGTTCAATCTATTAAAACAATTAGTAGTAAGACATCATTAATATTTTTGAGAATTGCATCTAGGCAGTCAATAACTACATTAATTTAACTGAAAAGAAAAAGGAATAAATTGCTGGTAGATTTTATTTAATTTAGGATTCATTATTTCATGGATCACTTGGAAAATAGAGTCAGATATACAGGCAGATCTATAGATAAAGGAAATCAGGTAATGAAATTAATTGCAAACCTTGGCTAATTTTTTCCAACAATAAAAAAGTGTTTAATTAAAGAGAGGGGTTGGTAGGAACTACAATGAAGTATGTGCAMAATATGAGGACATTTCAATGTAATAATTGGAGAAAAAATGAGGTCTGAGGTATGAGCAGGTGATGGAAAGGCTTTATCTATAGTTCTAGACCTCTTATTTGAGGTACTGAAATAGTTGCACTGTTCTTAATAAGGAAAGAAAATGTGTTTTATCTATGTTTCATAAATTCTGCCTAGAACCTATGGATTTTATACTCTATTGGTATAATTCTAAGGAAGACTCACTATCTTTTTAGAAAAATAATTGATTCTTTTGCCCCACAGATTCACTTTTAGTTTTTCTAGGTATTTGAACATGAAATTGGAAGCAGTACAAGTAAAGTATAATCTTGACTTTAAGTGAAAGATCAACTGATTGTCTAAGAAAAATAATACTGGTGGGAAAAAAACAGTATACTAAATGCTTAAATAGGATGAACTCCTTAAGCACTGACATATTATATTAAATAATGCTTTATATGAGTAGGTATTTATGGGAACCTTCAAATTAGACTGTGGTTGGATATTTATGAATTTAATCAATAATTCTATGATGATTTGATTATAATATGGATTAGGAATYTTAACCCTTCCTTCTTCCTTTCTCCTCTCTCTCTACCTTGCTCTCTTTGTATTTCCCAATGTAATAGAGCTAGATTATGCATTGCTTTGAGGTTAATCAATAATTACTTTGTATAGAAAGACTAAATTGTAAAGTTATGATCCTATCATAATAGAAGGCAGACATCTTTCATTAATTGTGAAACTTTAAAAAATAAAATAAAAAATAAAAATGGAAAAAAATCTGTAACTTTTACTCTGCACTGAGATGAACAAAATCAAAATCAGTTTAGCTTCAAGGAAGCATTAGGAACTCCAAACATGTGTGGAATAATGAATAGCCTAAGATTTGTAGATAATGCAAAATTCTGATTCTAAATAAAATTTAATGATTTTTTTTGTGGCCTGGGGATTGAACTCAGGGGCACTCAACCACTGAGCTATATCCCCAGCCCTATTTTATATTTTATTTAGAGATAGGGTCTCACTGAGTTACTAAGCACCTCGCCATTGCCCAGGATGGCTCTGAACTTGTGATCCTCCTGCCTCAGCCTCCASAGCTGCTGGTATTACAGGTGTGCACCATCATGCCCAGCTGGTTAATGATTTATTTTCAATAACTTTTTGCAACGTTACAAAGGCTAATTTTTATTTGTAAAAATATAATAAGCCCACTGTTTTCCATAGTCTAATRAAATACTGACAGTAACATATAAGTTATGTAGAATGAGGAATAGGGATTCCATTTAATTAATATTGTTCTTAGTGAAAACTCATCATCAACATTGTTATCAAAATGGAAAAGAAATATTGAATTCTTATTATGTGCCATCCACTGTGCTAGGCCTGAATATGAATTATTTTACTTAACAAAAGATAGATTATCAATTTTCGAAGGACTGGAACGTAATCAAGTAACTATGACATTGAAACTACAATCAACTCTGTCTTTTTTATTCATTTAATATCTTATAATACCTCACTGATACAGTGCTTGAGAAAGAGAATGTGTAGGACTAAATTATAGATTGACTCTTGTCAAAGTGAAGATTTATTTTAAAAAATCTTTTTTATATTAGCCTCATCACCTCTTTCCCATAAAAGCACAAGCATCTGAATAAATAAAACATTGTCATACTCCAACAGGTCTTATGAATCAGAGAACTTGTATAGAGATGAGGGAAAAATAGTCCATTTGGAGCTTTAGTAGGATCAGAAATCTTAAAATACACACACACACACACACACACACACACACACATTTTGTTTTGCTTGGTTGTTTAGTTCAGTGACAATCTCATGATATGCCTTCAATTTCATCCTCAAATAATGAGACCACATTACAGTATGAAATCCCCACACAGTAGTAGTGAAAGCACTCTTTAGTAGTACCGTAATTTTGACATTACTTTTATAAGGACATGCCTGATATATTCTTTAGCCTTATGTTCTGGGGTCAATTCTGTCGTCAGGTGAGAAGTTAATGAGACACAGGACACTTCGGAAGTTTAGCTCAAAGACCAGTTACCACTAGCCATAACTCACTCCTCTCTTCTGCTGCCCCTCTTCCCATAAATTATCTCTGTTCTTTGGTTCTTTCAGATCCTCTGGAAACAGAGCCCACTTTGCTCTTCCTAATCTGGAGAGAAATCTATTTTCTTCCCTTGTGATGAAACTCATAGTCTCCTGATTATCTGCAGGTCCCCATTCCCCGTTTTGCCTTGGACAGTCTTTTCTGAAAGGTCTGTCTAGTACTATTTTTATTGTGATTAATAATATTAGCAGTTGTAGCCACTATTTACTGACATATTTTAATCCTTCTGTAGAACTTTGATATTTTTTTTGAACTTTGATATTTCAAGAGCCCAAAGATTAGTGTTTTCCTTTTTCATCTTCTTATGRCAGGGCTGAATGCCATGTCTGGTCCTGACTAGATAAATGAATTTATAGAGAACTGACCACACATTAGGCACTACTGCATATTCACAATACAACTAGCAACTCCACCATCTCTGTTTTATAATTGAAGATATTGAGGCTCAGAAGAATGTGTTAAAATCTCATCTGTCTGAGCCTCAAACCACTCATTCTCCCTGTTGCCATCGTGGCCTGTCCTCAGAATGGGTGGCCTTTGCTCTGAACTGTTTTGATGTTCATCTCTGTTCTCTGGTTATGACATTCTAACTGATTTGCTCACTTACTGTCTCTGAGAGAAAAGACTTCAAAAATAATAGTTTATTGAGTATTTATAATTATACACACATACGCACACATATATGCATATATGTATGCATGTATATGGTGCATTCATATATTATATATAATAGTGCATATATTCATACACACACACACTCACACACTTCCAGAGGGTCCTTTAGAAATAAGCTTGCCAAATATGTATTTGCATAAAGCTGTATTTTTGAAATAAAGTCAAACTGTCAAGTACTTTGTGTTAACAGGAATGGCATTCCTACTGGTAATCAGCAGTTGGAATTTTAGGGACTTTCCTACTATCAAATTTAGTAGCCATCAAATTTAGATATATCTAACTTTTTTAAAGATAATAGGCCTCTCTTTCTAGGGAAATCAATAATAAATCTATATCGTCTTAGCTTCAGACATAATTTTAAAGGAACTCTTCATCTGAAAGAGTTTTTCTAGCCAATTTTTCTCATCCAAATGACCTACTGATGCATTCAGTGATTGTATTTCAGTCTTAAAGAATCCTGAAAAACCATTATAAGCTTATAAAAAGTAGACTGTAATACAAAGCAATTGCTTTTGTGAGGGTGAATAAATAGCCTATTGTTCTTGAGTGAAAAGACAGATAATCTGGAACCAGTTAATTTAAAGTTCATCTTTTCCCAATCCTTTCTATTCAAAACATATGGACTTAGATCAAACTCACATTTTGTGTACTATTTTCAATTTTTAATAAAGTTTACTTTTAATAATCTTATTTTTTAAAGAGAGAGAGAGAATTTTTTTAATATTTATTTTTTAGTTYTCRGCRGACACAACATCTTTGTTTGTATGTGGGGCTGAGGATGGAACCCAGGCCGCACGCATGCCAGGCAAGCRCGCTACCACTTGAGCCACATCCCCAGCCCAATAATCTTATTTTTAAGGCATGCCCAAATTCTTTTAAATTCACTGACTAGAGAAAGTGGGTGAAAATAGCAGATAATATGTATGAAAATAAAGCTGGAAAGAAATAATTTCATATATCAGTGGGCAATTAAACAGTGATGAGAAGCAGGTCCGTTACATAGTAATCAGAGGGAGACATTTTTCCATAAGATAATTTTTACTTGAAAATGGTGCTAGTTCTCCTTCACAACCACCACGACTTACGTCCACAGGCTTGCCATCAGCAGCTCGTGCCACCAGAACTGTCCTCCCATGAAAATCCACAGTATCCTTCACATCAGTCTGCCGGCTTGCAATTAAACTGCAATCCACATAGAGTGAAAGGACCTGGGATTGTATGCTGAAGCCAAGTTTATGCCACTGACGGTCAAACAAAGGACGGAGTTCCCGATTTTTAAAAATGTAATTCAACRTGTCTCCCCCGGCAGCTCGGAACATAAACTCTACCACCTTCTTTCCACCATCAATTACGACAGAAATCTGAAAAAAAAAAAATGCAAATTATCTTTGAATGTTCTAAAAATCAATGTTCAAAATTATTAAAGCACTCAAGTATAATCTCAAGATGCTTGTTAATATATGACGCATTTAGTGAAATACTTTAGATGACACCTGTGCCTACCAGATTTTTAATAAGAAACAAAAGTAAACACTTGCTTCAAAATTGAGTTTGACATGGGCTATCCAGTGAATGTAATATACTCTTTCTTGAGAGAACATCTAAGAGTGRGTATGTGTCTATAATTTCATAACTGTATTGTATGTTTTATACTTATAAGTAAAAGTATAAATTTACCTAAAATATAAGGTTTACATTTTAGAGCATACTGTATAAATTATATACTTTATCTAAATATAAGCTTATATATAATTTATTGTTTTGTGTGAATAATTCAAGAATTCAAGGTTACCAATTTAGTGAGAATATGATTATTTATCTTTTGCATGCAAGTTGAGATCTACTTCTTTAATTTTTGATAATTTGCATGACAAAAAAATATGTGTGAAGAACATACTGTCCTCCCTCCCTCTATCTTCTTATTCCACTGATTTCCCAACCAATGTTGCCATTGATATTTTAATTAGTGCATTATATGACTCATTGTGATTTATTTTTACATAGATATAGCATAATTTGGTAATTTTATTCCCGATGCCCATCCTTCCCCCGCCCCCAATCTCTTTTCTCAAATGTATTGATCTTCTTTCCATTTTCATGAGATGCCCCTCACCCCTTTTTTCATCTCTTTAGTTTCTGCACATGAGAGAAAATAGTTGAGCCTCAATTTTCTGAGTTTGGCTTAATTACTTAGCATGATAGTCTCTAATTCCATCCATTTATCTACAAATGACATAATTTCATCCTTCTTTAAGGTTTCATTGTGTATCTATAGCACAATTTCTTTATCCATTCATCTACTGAAGGACACCCTAGGCTAGTTCCATAACTTGACTATTGTGAATTATGTGGCTATTAACATTGGTATGAATGCATCATTATAGTATGCTGATTTTAGATCTTTCAGATAAATACCAAAGAGCAGAAGAACAGCTGGAGTATATGGTGGTCCCATTCCTAGTCTTTTAAGGAATCAAAAAATCACTTTAAAAATAATACATAATATCAGAGTTGATAGAAGATGAAGAAATTATTAGGGAAGTGGTGTTAATCAATGAAAGTTGCAAAGGAGAGCAGTTTCAGCTTCTTCAGACAAAATATGGATATCAGAGTTAAAAAGAATCCTGTCTCACCCACAAAACTATCACATTATAGATCTGAGCAAGCCTATCATTAGAAAACTTGTAATTGCCTCTTGATAACTCCTGTAAAGGAATATTTGGATACTATATCAGTTCCCAAATTTGGGCACGCAGTTCAAAGACACACCTGGTCTGGCACACAACAGAATTAACAGACACAACTCTCATGGCATCTTACCTGTGGCACATTTTTCTGGTTTAAAACCTGCCACAGAAACCACCGCTCCTTTTTGGTGTTTCTTCGTACACGAAACACAGCTGCTACAGAGAACTCCTCAGGAAGGCCTTTAGGAAATATCTTACTGTGGGAGAAAAAGAAAGAACTATTGTGGGGAGACTGAAGATGGCAAGGACAGAGAAAAAAAGTATGAAGTTCCTTGCACCATAGTATCTCAGTCATAGTTTTCTTAATGAGTTTATAATTTATTATTCAATTTGCCCTAATCTGTTGAATGGAAATATGGAAGCAGCCATGACTATATTTCCTATGATATTTTTATCTAATTCTCTCCCTTTTGTAATCAACTGGTATGATGTAGCTAAAGCTTGAGGCATATAAACACAAGTGGACAGGCTATAGAACTAGGTTGCTATATTTTCTTAGACATTGAGATGTCCCAACATAGGAAAATCTCAGAATTCACTGCAGTCTAACAAATAGTAGCCCTTTACCAGCACATAAATAATACTTCTTGATTTTGTTGGTAGAGATGTATACAGAGAATTTCAAAGAATACTATAAATAAGTAAATGCATATTTTTCAAGTGAATTTTATCTCATTAAACTCTTGCAAATGAGTTCCTAATACAGATTTTCTGGTGTTAATTTAAGATGCTATTAAATACAATGAAGAAATTTTAGTTTTATTTTTTATTTAATAAAATTAAAAAAAATTCTAGGTAGCAAAAATCTAAAGACAGTTCACATATTCTATCTCAATCTTGCTTCAAAATACTGGTTTCATTAAAATCATGATAAAACTTAGACAAAAATTTCACAACAAACATATCTTGAATTTAGCATTAATTAGCACATGAGAAACATATTTCTCTATGCTGATTTTAAAACTTATTCCCAGTATATTTGAAAACTCTGCAAAACAGGAATTCTGCTTTCTTAAAAATAATAGTAAGTAATCATCTCTTAAAGACATACATATAAGTTTTATATATAAATAAAATGCCATACATTGTGATGTTAACTACTAACTTCGCTCTACTGAAATTGACAATTATTGAAACTGACAAACTGTCACAGAGAATACTGAAATTTTCTTTTTACTCTCTGCATTCTCTAATGCAGTCACAAAGTCACATGTGGTAGGGAAATAAGGAAATAATGTGAAAAAGCTGTCACTGTCCAAAGTTCTTATTCAGTTGGTTAAACACACACACATGTATTTACATGTGTGCGCACACACACACATACACACACACACTCACACACACACACACACATATATATATGCATGTTTATGAACATCTGTGTGTGTGGAGAGAGAAAAAGATCAAGTGGTTTGATTTACAATATTTTGACTTTATGATAGCGTAAAAGTAATATGCATTCAGTAGAAATAATATTACGTAAAATATCAAATTCTGATCTTTTCTGGGATAGAGATATGTCATACACCATGCTTTATACAATATTATCTTTTGATACCAAGTATGGGCAAGGGGCCATTCCAGTCAGCCATGTGATCAGGAAGGTAAACAAATGATACTCTGTGGTGTATTGTGTTGCTAAACTGTGATGTCTGGTTGATTAAGTGCATTAAAGACATTTTGGCCTGCAACATTTTCAACTTAACCAAGAGCATYCCTGTGTGTATAAGTACAATTATATACACTCTAGTTTTATCTTTTCTTGAAAATTTATGCAACTACATTATGATATCCCTTCTTAAGTAAGTAAAAAATTAGCAAATAATTTATTTTCATCAAATCTATCAAAATGAAAGTGTCAAAAATGGAATTTGCTATGAAATGTCAATAGTAATAAAATAAATTTCACTAGGGACAATTACTGCATTGATTTAAGTAACATTTCTTATTTAAACAAAGCAATAAACCTAGCCTTTGGTGCCTATAATTTCTGTTTGGCACKGAAGACAAACCTGAAAGATGGGTACATGTGGTGATAAGAGGCAACACCAAACACATTTTCAACTTGAAATTTTGAACTGCTTAGTTATAGCAAAATTACTTCTAAAGGAAAGCTCAAGCCCCACAGGTGTTCCTATTACATGCAATAATAGCCTGTGGCTCCACTTCACTTYCAATTTCTTGCCTCTGTTCTGCCACTTTCCACATTGAAGCTCTTGGGATCTGAATGCCATCTCCAGTGTTCTTGAATTTGACAATGTGTGATTCTGGGCATTATTATTTTCATTTACTGTATTGAACACATCTTTTAATATAGATTATACATTAACAAGAATTTCTTCTATTATTTTCTTCATGACATTTTCTCTTATCCCCTTTTTTAAGGAACTCCATTTCTAGACACCTGCTTAACTACTGTACAATCTATCTAGTGTTCTTACCCTTTTTCTTATATTTTTACGTCTTCTAATTTTATTCTACTTGGAGGGATATCTATGATTGTCTAGTCTTTGTACTCAACATCAATTTGACTGATATAGAAATATATTCAATATTCTATTTGGCTATTTTCTTCAAAATATCCTGTGGTATCTGTTTAACTTTATCAATTTCATATAAGTTTTTTTCTCTGCTCCTTTACATATCTCTATTACATCTGTGTTAGTTTTTCCTTTATGACAATTTGGCTTCTGTCTTCCATTTGGAAGCTGTACTCTATAATTTCTGGTGAAATTATAGAGGCTACTCATATTTAAGAATGAAGCACTGATTGTGAATGTGTATGCTGGCATGGTATGTTGACAAGTAAGCTTCATTGTATAGATGATAACTGATAGATCCCATAAAGGGCTCATCAAATGTTAATACAGGGTGATTACTTYAATACTTGGTTCATCCAAAGAATTCTTCTATTTACTTTTGGTAAGTGGAATCTACCTGACCACAGGCATTCTAGAAGCAGTAGTATATGAARGAGCCCTATAGGTCACCACGAGTAAACTCTTCCCTCCAGTTTTTGATGTCAAACTTATTCCTTCCCTTGCTATCCTGTTTAACCTCAGTCTGGCTTAATTTCTCTAGCTAATAAACTTCTTGCCTCTTGTCTGGCTACATGAGGAAGGAGGAGATAATATGGAGCCTCATGCTCTTATGCTCAACACACACACACACACACACACACACACACACACACACACACCTTACTGGCTTTTGTAGAGCCTGTTTCCTGCTTATCAAGATTCTCAGGAGTCCAGTGAGGAAGACTCATTTCTCACCAGCATTCCCAGCACTACAACACTTCAGTTCTAGCCTTTTTCTGTTGCATGATCCATATTCCCAGTCTTCCACTGCTTTCTGTCTTCTACAACATATTGTGATATTTTTCTGTCGTTTCATATTCCATTCTCTACTCACTTTTGCGTTTTAAATCTTTAATTTGTCCCTTTCCAAGGGTCCCTTTATCTTGATTTACTACAGATAAAATTTCATCTGACCTTGTGACACCACTGTTAGCTTCCCATCTACCCACAAAGCTTTTCAAATGAGCACTGAATAGCTACATCTTCACCAGCCATTCAGTCCTTAATGTTCCCCTCCTGCATTCTGAAACATATCCAATCAGATAATCTCTTAGTTTTAATCCTCGACCCCCTCACTCTTTCTGCAGGTGTTAACACTACAGACATCATCTTCACTCATATAAAATAACATTCACAACAATAGCTCTAGGGCCCAGCAAGGAAACTTGAATTGTAAACTCCCTGATTTCTTTGCTTAACCTACTCACCTTTTGTCCCCATCGTTTAGAATAAGGTAGATACCCAATTACTTAAATAACCACTAAGTAAATTGAGTTCAGCATTGTGTGTGTGTGTGTTTGTGTGTGTGGTGTGTATGTGTGTCTGTGTGTGTCTTTGTGTTTGGGTAGGAGATTGAACCCAGAGGTATTTAACCACTGAGCTACATCCCCAGACCTTTTTATTTTTTATTTTGAGACAGAGTCTTACTGAGTTGCTTAGGGCCTCACTAAGTTGCTGAAGCTAGTTTGAACTWGTGATCTTCCTGCCTCAGCCTCCTGGGCTGCTGGGATTGTAGGTGTGGGCCACTGTGCTCCATAAGTTCAGCATTTTTAAAGATATAAACACATGGTTTTATTTCACTCCCCTTTTAGCACTTCTATGAGAAAAACATAGAACAAGTGAGTTAATAATAGCAACTGATACTGGTACTCATGTAGAGGACACATGTGGGGACTGTGGGAAAYTGAAAGCCCAGCCCATCTACAGGGGCAGCTGCTCTGTAGTGCCAGCCAACTGTTACCATATGGGAATGTGGATTCAGTGTTGCCAGATCATCCCATTTTTCCATAAGAAGCCAAAAATCTAGATTTTTATCTGTCAAGTTTTGAGCCTTAAATTTGGTTGATTAATTCAAATTTATGAAAAACATTGTCCAAACCAACGTGGAGAAGCCAAATAAAACCAGTGACTGCTATTTGGCACCCTTGGATTTATACAAGCACTTGCTGAATACCCATTGTGTATAGAGCACTGTGAAACTTACAAAGATGGAAAAAGAATGTTCCCTGCCCTGCCCTAATTGCTGCTTAAAATTAGTTGAGAGTAGCAAAACATTCACAGRTAATATAAATAAACTATATAAAGTAGAAAAGAGCAGGGAAATACTGAAGATGACTAAAATCAGAACTCCAATTGTGAATGGGAAGCCTAATGTTAGGAATGAAATTTAAAAAAAAAAAAATCTTCTCAACAATAAAGCAGGACGGTAGCTGCTAGAGTAACCTTCATGGATCTGAGTGAAAAACAGCAGCCACTTAAAGGGGTGTGGAATAGAGATGCTTAAAAATGCTCACCGCAAAGTCATGGGTCCCAGATGAATGCATACTACCCACACCT